TTCCCTAGACTGTAGCCTTGGGCCTGGCTAGAGACCCCCACTGAGTCAGGAGGGCAGCCCAGCCCTGCCTACCTGGCTGCAGGTGCCTTCCCCCAGGACAGCCAAAGGCCTTGATGCAGGGTTAGAAGACCTCACAATCCACACTAGGTGCTGATCACTATGTCCCCCGCTACCAGCCAGAAGTGAGTTATGGGTGGAGGAGTCCCTAAAAACAGTGACTGGGGTGGACCTAAGGGGCCTGGAATCCACAATGACCTTGGCCCACTAGAGGATCTACATCTGTTGGCTCTGCTCTCTCAACTCTCCTCCAGGACTGTTATCACCTCGACCTGAATCCCTTCTCTCAGATCAAACACTTATTTCCCACATTTTTTCATTCTTACAGAGTTCAAGGTGGGATGGGCCCCTCTGGCCCAGCCCCTTATAATTCATGAGTGACCTCCTCTCACTACTTCCATGGCCCCTCCCCATCTGGGAGCTCTCCTCTGCTGGGACCCACACAGAGGAGACTGGGGGCTGTGGCACCCTTGGAGCAGCCCCAGTGCTGTGTTGTACACTGACTTCATCAGTCTGACCACCTCCTCTGTCCACCTAGAACATAGGGCCCATGAGCTTGGCAAGCACTTGGCTCAGGGGTGTACCAGGGGCAGGTGGGTGGGTACCTCCAGCACTTGAGCTTGGAAAGTCCAGGCAGCAAGGTCTGGATCCCATCCTCCCAGCACAAGGGCTTAGACCACCTGGTCCTGGTTCAATTGGTGACCATGCAGGCGTGCAGCGAGCAGCTGCAGCCATCTAGATGCTCCCGAGGCTGTCCCAATCTCAGCCTCACTTTCTTTCTGGCTGGGACACCAACCCCACTCCTAAATCCAGGGATGGCATGTGCCTTTTTAAAACCATCCCTCCATGCATAACACATGAATACATACACTTAATGCCACTCATATGTACTTATGGTTAAAACTGTAAATTTTGTGTACTTTACTATAGTAAAAAGAAACCCTACCACTCCAGATGAAGGGCAGAGGTGTGTACTTCTACAGCTCTGTCTCTTGGCTGTGCATGTCCCTGCCATGCTGCACGAGCTGGAGTGTCCTCTGCCAGCTTCAGTCTAGCCCCTGCTCATCACAGGCCAGGCAGCATAGTTGAGTTAGGAACCCATGACTCCAGCTCTCATCCCCTTTGCTTCTCCCCTCCCAGGACCACCCTTAACCCACTCAAGGCTTTCCACCAACTTTTGTCCACTTCCCAAACCTGACAGCATGCCTCTGCCCAGCTAGCTTGGTGTCCACACTGAGCAGAGGGCCTTCAGGAAATGTGCTTTGTCCTGGTCAAGTGTGGGCTGCAGACAGGGGTAGTGCTCCTTAGATGGAGGGATACCCTCCAGATACTGCATTCTTCTCCCATGGAGAGTCAGCCAGGGGTGACCTGTCACAAGCCAGGAGAGCAGTCCACGTTACCTGCATATCCTCCTTGAAAGGGACAGAATGAGTGAGGCAGGAGAGACGAGAGCAGGACCATCAGTCACATCATGGTGCTCGTAGTCACAAGATTCAGACTCAGTGCCCCTGTGCACATTGAGGCAACCAGCCTCTCTCTGCACGAGGAGGTGTGTGAGGGAGGAGGTGGGCTATTTTGACATGGCCATCAGAAGCTCCCTTGAAAAATAAACCAACCCCCACCCCCCAAAAAGTGAAAAAGGGAGAGCTCCCAGTTATCGTTTCATTCTGGTCTTATGGTTTGTGTAGAAGAGCTGAGAAGATACCACCATAGGCCCTCCTTGAGTGTGAGTCAAAGCATGACCTGATCTCCCACCTCTGAGGACCTCGTGGCTGTCATGTGGATGTTGTCCAAGGGTCTTTCTTCACCCTAAGTAACTCCAAAAATGGAAACTGCAGCGCAGTCCCCTGAGCTAGAGTGCCAGGCACTCTCTCCTCCCCAGTGGAGTCTGCTGGGGTCTGAGCTAAGGGGCGCGGCCAGGTGGCTCACTCAAGAAAGGACGTGTACAGCAAAGCAGGAGACAGCCCAGCACATCTGGCATGTCATTTAGGAAAGGGGGGCAGGGGGCGTGTGTGCTGCAAGCCCAAAGTCAAAAGGGGAGCCCAAAACAGTCTCAATTTCTGAGGGTGAGCTCACTGAGACGGCATCCAGAGTGTCACCACCACCTATGGAATGACACGGTGCAAGTCTCTAGAGTACACAGTAACAGCAGAGACCTCACTGCAGTCGTCAGGAGGCAGTCTTGTCAGATTTATTTATTCCTACTCGACATAACCCCAGAACACAGGAGCAACTGTACATCTCTAGAAACTCACAGCTAGCTCTGAAACAATAGAAATTTTAAACTACAAAAGATGAGTTGTATTCAGCAAATATAAAGAGTAACCTCAGGCATGTTGAACGTTTATCAGACTATTTACAGTGCCTGGGCATGGGTTCAGATCTCGCCAGCCTCCTTCTCCTCCGACCTCCGCGAAGCCGTCTTCCCGTTGGAGCTCTCGAGCCTCCAGTCGGTGGCCCCCCGCTCGCTCCGCCCGCGCTCCCAGGACTCCTCCCTCGACGCCCGCTCTCTGGAGAACCTGGGAAATGGGAACCAGAGGCTCAGCAGAGGCTGTTGGCCCCTTTCTGACTGGCTTCTCAGGCACCGAAAACTTGGACCCTGAACACTGGGTCAAGGAATGCCAAGACCCGCCATACCTGGAGAGGCTCCCTGGCATGCCAGAGGGTAGCCAGACCTGTCATCTTGTGCCCAACCCACACCTGCTAAAAAATGACATCTGCAAAGATTACTAATAACAGCTAGAATGTAAATGGAGCAAAGGAAAATACAACAGAAGTCCATACCTGGAATATGATTCATTATATAAAAACACAATAAAGAAAAAACTAAAACCAAGCATATCAAAGTGCTAACAGTGGTGATGAGTGATGTTGGTGTTTGCTGTTCCTTCCGAAAACCACAAGAGAGATAAGCAGGGCCTGGTCAGGACACAAGTCTTAGGGATTCTGTGTATCAAAGTGAGAGAGTGTAGCCCCTGAGTGCGGCAGGCCACCTGGTGGGGCCCATGTCCATGTATGATCACCTCCACAGCCTCTCAACCATCCCATCCTATATCTATCTGCTGCTCTCAGCTTATGACTCAAGACCCCAACAATCAGTCCCACAGATGGCCAGCCAGGCTCCTGAGCAACAGGTATGGCCAACGGGCACCAATGACAGACCCCAGAGACCCTGGGAACACAAAGAGAAGGGGCTCACTCCTGGTTGCAGCTACTGAAGGAGTCAGAGTAGTTACTTGTATTTCGCACTCCGGTCCCTGGAAGCCCGGCGGTGGCCCCGGCTGTGGCTCCGGGAACGACTGCGGTGGCGCCGGTGTCTGTCACGGGACCGGGACCGGGAAGACTTTCGTCGCTCTCTGGAGGTAGATCTTGACCGCCTCCGACGCCGGTCCCGGGAACGTGACCTGTGTGGACGACCAGAGACTCTGAAGTCAGTGGTGGCATCACCCCACCCCAATGCCCCTCCTCCCTCACCATGTTCTGCTCGATGCTTTACTGGTATCTTCTCTTTCCTCCCACAAATTTACAACTTGGGTTCACAATCGCCTCATTAATTAATTAACCTTTGGTCAAAAGAATTATGGCCAAAGCCTTCCCAGCAATGCTTCCTGAAAATCCCAGCCACCAAATAATTGTGAAGTTATAAAGATTAAATATTAAAAAAAAAAAAAAATGCATGCTGAAAAGAACATTTGACTGAGAACACCATCTGGAAACCTACCTCCTGCGCTCTCTGGTTCTTGAGCCAGACCTGGGAAAAAAAGAAAAAAAAAAAAAGAACAATTTTCCCAAAACAGCCCCATACATCACATCTGATGTGATGGGAGGGGCCCCAAGTCCACGAGGAGGGTTGACTTCCCACAGAAACCTGTTATCTTCTAGCTGCTCACTCATTCTCAGGCCAGCAGCAGCAAGTGTTAATGCACCAGGATAAGGCCTATCCCAACCTTCAGCTCCCAACTTTTTAGCAAAAGGACAGGACCAGCACCCTGAGTTCAACAACTGGCTCTACAAAGTCTTTAGAGTGGACCCTAGCACAGCTATGCAGCCACCTAACGGATAAAGGGCTGGGCAGAATCAAAAGCTGCCAAGACACCAAAGTTAAACCAATGCCTCAAATTCCAAGCACGAACTCACTGCTAGGTGAGGGCCACATGATCCCCTCGGGAAATAGCATATAATCAGCAACCCAATAAATGCACATTACAATGAAGCTCATTTTACAATGTTCTACAGCAGAAATTTATAAGACTGCTAACAACATGTGCTGAGGAGGAAGTGACAAAAGATGCTCACCCAACATGTGGCTGGAGGGTGATTTGATAAAGCCTCTTGGAAAACCATTTTTACAATATTTACCACTATTTATTTATATGTTAAATTCCCTTGTCCCAAAAATTCTAATTTTATAGAAAATTCAAACATATACAAGAATGATCTCCAGAGTACTTGTTCAACAACAATTTTATAAAAACACAGCCATTAAAAAGGATAAGGAACAAAAGCAAAAATAAACAAGTGAGATTATACCAAACCAAAAAGCTTCTGTATAGCAAAGGAACCCAACAACAAAATGAAAATGTAGCCTACTTGGAACACAAGAAAATATTTGCAAATCATGTATCTGATAAGGGCTTACTATCTAAAATATATAAAGAGCTCCTATAACTCAACAGAAGAAAGAATCCAATTAAAAAATGGGCACAGGATCTGAATAAACATTTTTCCAAGACGACATACAAATGGCCAACAGGTACATAAAAAGGTGCTCAAAATCACTTGGCAGAGAAGCGCAAATAAAAGATCACACCTGTTAGACTGGCAATCATCGAAAAGACAATAAGTGTTGGCAAGGATGTGGAGAAAAGGAAACCCTCATGCACTGCTGGTGCGAATGTAAACCGGTGCAGCCGTTATGGAAAATAGTATGAAGTTTCCTCAAAAGATTAAAAAAATAGAACTACCAATGATCCAGCAATTCTACTTCTAGGTAAAGTAGTCCCCCCTTATCCATAGTTTCACTTTCTGCGGTTTCAGTTACCTGAGATCACCCTTGGTCTAAAAATGTTAAATAGAAAATATCAGAAAAATTTCATAAGTTTTAAATTGCTACCATTCTGAGTAGTAAGATAAAATCTTGTGGTGTCCCACTGCATGCCATGAATCATCCCTTTGTCTAGCCTATCCACACTGCATATGTTACCTGCCTATTAGCCACTCAGTTGCTGTCTTGGTTATCAGTTCGACTGTCATGGTATGGCAGTGCTTGTATTCGAGTCACCCTATTTTACTTAATGACCCCAAAAAACAGAAGTGACACTGGCAATTTGGGTATACTAAAGAAAAACTGTAAAGTGTTATGTATACAAAGGAAAAAACAACATTTTTAGGGTCCAGCACTAGCCATGGTTTCAGGCATCCAGGGGGGTCTTGGAATATATCCCCCTTGGATAAGGGGGGACTACTGTATTTATCCAAAGAAATGAATTCACTCTCTTGAAAAGACTCCTGAAACTCCATGTTCACTGCAGCATTATTTATAATAGCCAAGACATGGAAACATCCTAAGTATTCACCAACAGATGAATGGAGAGAGAAGATGTAGTATTATTCGGCCATAAAAAAGGAAATCCTGCCATTTTTAACAACATGGATAGATCTTGAGAACGTTAAGTGAAATAAGTCAGTCAGAGAAAGACAAATAGTGTATGATTTCACTTATGTGTGATATCTAAAAATACCCAAACTAATAGAGAACAGACTGGTCAGAGGCGGGGTGGGAGTAAATAAAAAAGATAAAGGTGTGAGAAAAGAAGAATATTCAGTTATGGCACATGACTGTAAAGGCACGTCTGCTGTGGGATGATCTTGGAAATGAGGTGAGGATCGCACAGGTGCCAGTGCACACAGCCACACAAACGCACCTCTACGACAGTGGTCACCTCTGTGTAAAATGGGACTTCTGTTTTGCTTAACACATTTTATACTATTTGAGTCTCTTTACAATCAGAATCTGTTAGATAATTAAAATAATGGGAAAAAAACACAATAAATACTTATTTGTCCTTTCGGAGTTATGCACTAAGGAATTCCTTCAGG